AAATTTCTGCTGAACCACAATTCAAAAGCAACGTCATTATGTTCCTTACACTTTTTTTTATTATTACTTTTGTCAATTTCAACTTATTTCAGTGTGCATTGGAGGTCGACTGTAGGTTGAAACTTATACCATCTTAGGCATCATTTTTTTATGTGACACTTCAGTGTTCGTTTTAAATACGTTTGCTTCTGTTTGGCTTCATTCCAAAATCCCAAAAGTCTGATAACTTCTCTTCAATGAGCGCTTCTCCTCTCTCAGTGCTGCTGTTCTACGGTCGGAGAGGAACCTTCACCCATCAGAGGAAGACGGCAAAAGAATGATCTGGATATAAAAAACAGCACTTTTAATTATGGTAAGTTACAAAAGTCAGTAAGTCAGACCGTTTAGGAATCACATGTGGAAATGCTTTAATGTAAGGTGCATGTGTGTGGCAAAAATAAACAGTAAGTCCTTTCAGAGTCTGAAGTCGGGTGTTGAAGAGTCTGAACACTCCCATTTGAAGGAGTAGAACCAGAGGCAACAGAACAGCTGGAGCTGCTGTCTCATTGTGTCCCGGCCGTCTGAGATCAACGTGCTCACAGAGTTTCAGGTGCGGTGAACAATTCTGTCGATGCTCTCCTGGATATCAGCCATCCTCTTCAGCACCTGGTTGATTTGGGCTTCGTCACATTCCAGACACACAAACTCTGAGTCCTGAGACAAACAGAGAAAAAATCAATGATTGATTTATTGTTGTAATTTGGTGCTCTCACTACTCCATATTGTGCCCTAACTGAAGAGAATACATAAAAAAAACTATCTCAGTTCTTTGTCAGTTTAAAGTTATTGACTTTTAGTTGACAACATGCCGGATGTATGTTTAAATTATTGAATTTCCCTTCTGGGATAAATAAAGTATTTTTCATTTCATTTAATATCGTTATTGGAAAATCAGAACAGTCTCTCTCTGATCTCTCAGCAAAACACTGAGGTGACCCTGATCGGGTCACTTCATCTGAAACAGTTTCAGAACCTTACCTGTCCGGCTCGGCCCAGCTCCAGCTCCATCAGGGCGACCGGCCCACTGTGGGCCGCGTCCCCCCGGCTGGTGGCGGTTTGGAGGTCCACCCTCCAGGAGAGGCCTCTGAGGCTGGGCTCCCAGCGGCTCTGAGCCAGCAAGCTGTCCCTCACCCGAGTCCGTTGGCTCTTCCAGAAGCGTGAGAGGGCAGCGGCCTGTTCAGCACTCACCCCGCCACCGCCCTGCTTCTTGGTCTGAGCTGTGAGGAAGGCCTCCAGCTGGGCGTGGTCCATGTCCGCCGTGGCAATAGACTGAGAGATGGAGGAGGATGAGGTAAGACGCAAAGTCAGAGTTCTGCAGCTCTGCACACCAAACCACTTAGAAATAAACAATTTCAAGCATCAGATATTCCCGTTTTATTTACCAATTAATTAAATGCTGATAGACACAAGGCAGATGTATGTGTATAGCACAGCATTCAGAGTGAAGTGTAACATGAAGTCTGATTTGAGAACAGAAGTTTTTAATTCAAGCCGAGTTATTTCAAATTCATTGTCCTTTATGGGATAATAAAAATAAAAA